GAGGAGCTTCATAACTTGTACTCCTAGCCAAGCATAATTAGAATGATCAAGTCAAGGAGGATGAAATGGACTGGGCATGTTGCACGAATGGGAAGAAGAGGAATGCATATAGGATACTGGTGGGACAGCCAGAAGGAAAGAGACCACTAGGAAGACCATGACGTAGGTGAGTGGGCAATGCTAAAATGGATCTTAGAGACATAGAATTGGATGGTTTGGACTGGATCGATCTGGCTCAGGATAGGGACCAGTGGAAGGCTCTTGTGTACACGGTAATGAACATTCGGGTTCCATAAAATGCTGGGGATTTGTTGAGTAGGTGCACAATTGGCGGCTTCTGAAGAAGGGGTCAGCTCCATGAATGAATGATCTTGGTCTGGTTTGAGATATTTATCTAAGCATTTTTTATGAAGTGACTATGGAAAACAAGCAAAATGTTATCAGAAGAATCACCGTACCGGCCGAGATTCGAAGCCAGCTCCTCACTCATACAATTCGGAAGCGTTGTCGTTACTTTCTACGTAAGATTGCATTGTCATCGCGTGTGAGTGTCACACTGAGCTTCATGCGAAACTGGAGGCCATGCTGTGGCTGATTCTTGCTTTGAAACGAGCAGTAATGATTAACTTTATCTTGTTTTTTGTGTGATACCGCATTTATCCTGTTGTTATCTACAGTAAATGTGCTCAATACGCTGGTCTCTTGTGCTTATCACAATTCACACGAAGCAAAATATTTTTAACAAGTAGAAGATTTTATGACGGAAATTATGCAGAGATTCCTCCGAAATGTTAGTACTTATCTACGAATCTATATAGGGATTACAGCCCAGGAGGTAGTGATCTTCAAAAAGCGAATGGTGAGTTAAAGATCGACAGTGACCCGAAAAATAAATGACATATTTCTGTTTTTCTGCTTGAGATGTGCACCGTTTTAATCCACAGCGTTATTTATTATCACGATAAATTCAATTACAACAAAATTTCTTTAAATTAGTTTAAATTAATCATTTTCCCGACATATTTCGATTATTTTTATTTTTATAATATGCATCCTGTTGTGTGTCTTAGCTATATGGGTAGGTAACGTATCCGTCAACATAACAAGGAAAATGGAATAAAAATTATAATCAATATCTCATAGAAATCTTTTTACCAGCAAATTGGACTTAAATTTGAGGAAGAAACTAGTGAAATGCTACATTTGGAGCATGGGGCTCAAACATGGACACTTAGGGCAGTAGATGAGAAACATCTAGAAAGTTTCGAAATGTGGTGTTGGAGAAGGATTGAGAAGATCAGTTGGACCGATTATGTGAGAAATGAAGAAGTGTTAATTAGAGTCAGTGAGCAGAGGAATATCCTACATGAAATAAGAAAACGGAAGGCTAATTGGATTGGTCATGTTTTACGCAGAAACTACCTTCTAAAAGAAGTTATCGAAGGAAAGATAGATGGGCGGATAGAAGTGACAAGAAGACGAGGAAGAAGACGTAAGAAGATGCTGGATGACCTTGGGGACAGAAGAGGATACTGTCATTTGAAGGAGAAAGCTCTAGATCGCATTAAGTGGAGGAATTGTTTTGGAAGAGACTGTGGACCTGTCGTCTTGACAGATTACTGATGATGATGATCTCATAGATTGAATTTTGTTGATTACTGCTATTTGTTTCGGTTCTCATGGGACCATAATCAGGGAGTGGATATAATACATATGATAAAGGTAATTGAAATCTCAATATAGATATATACTGTGGTGCAAGTCCGTATTATAAATGTAGAAAACGCTGCCTTGTGTTATGATAAAAATTACAATATAGACAAATAATTAGAAATAGTAGACTATGCAAGAATTTGTATTTAAAATATTTATTAGGGGGGGTAAGTAAGGGGTGCAGTATACTACGAATATGGGATTTTATAATACGGATAAAGAGTTAGAAATTACACAAATAAAACAAATAGTAAAGCTATCCCTGTAACAGGCCGTGGAGGCCCATAAGGTTGTGAGATGTTGAGGTTCCCACATTTTCTAGACAGTGGGCTCATAGGTGTGCGGTAAGGTTGTCAGCCCTACGCACCGGCCGCTCTTTACCCCCAAGAATATTCCAAGAATATTCCTGGTACTCATTTCTATTAGAGGCTGAGTCGACCCCCAGGGCCATAGTGCGGCTGGAATGATTAAGTAAATTGAAAAAAAAAGCCCAATTACCTCATCGAGACTTGAACCCGCGACCTTCTGGCTTGTAGCATAGTGCTTCAACCAACTACGCTACCGCGTGCCCCCTATTATACAAGTAAAATAATTGAAAATGTTAAAGGTAATACAAATATTAAAAAATGTTAGAAGCAGTACTATAAAATTATGGAGATATGGAGTTGAAGGTTGCGAAGTCTGGTAGATCATTGAATCCATGTTGTTTTTAGCCTCTCGTGATGTGGGTGTTATTCACCCACAGTCGTGTTGTGTTCAATGTGTTATGGACCTGGGGGCTGTTTCATCGTCTTCGGTATGAGTCTTAATGTAATTTTATCTCAATATGTACGTGTGTTCTATTTGTATGGGCATTGTGTGTGTCTTGGCTTGAATCAACGTTGACAGATACGTTAACTAACCATATATTTCGACATTTATAATGCCACTTTCACGGGTAATAACTTAGCAGTACAAAAGAAATGAGCTCAAGATTATTTTCCATGATTGTAATGACTAATAATAATATAAAATAAAGATTTACTTAAACAGTTTTATATATTGTAACGTGAATAGCTAGGCAACGGCGCTATAAACATCTCGCATAAGCGCACTCGACAATAGGACAAATGTTTATAGCTCGTTTCTAGACAACAGTTAGTGCACCAATGGACTAGCAAGGTAGCTATCATGTGACTATCTATCTATCTATGGGGTCCGTACCGCGACCGTTGCTATACTATAGTTCTGTAAATACGTTTTAAAAATAGAGGCTGTGTTTTCTTCGTGGTCGGTGCGGAGACTATGTAAAGGCAGACATATAAGAGTTTTCAGACAGTCGTATGGAGGCGGGGTCGAATACCTCCACTGTGACCCTGCAAGTCATAGGAGGTGACGAAAAGGGAAGTTCAAATCTGAGAAAATAAAATATGGTCGTGAGTCCCAAGGGACGTGGACGGGGAAGGACGGCCGGCGTGTAAGTCTGACCACCTCACTGCCTGCCATCTGTAAGCCGATTATCTAAAAAGTGTGGGAGCCTCGACGGCTCACAGCCCTATGGCGCCCCACGGCCTGTTACTGAGATAACTTTACCTTTTTAGTTGGATTTTAGACTTGTATTGGCCTTTCCCTCATCTTCTAGGATCAAATCTGCTTCCTTGGGCACTGGTACATAATACAGTGCCTTCTTTCTACGTGTGTTTTTTAGTTTTCCCGCAATCACACATATGTTCCACCAAATTCTGAGCTTGCTTTGGTGACCCCATTTTGCTGTTTTAGACATTTCATCCGTGCAGCTTCAAATATTTTTATCTTTCCATTCAGAATTTACGTCTCACATATCTTGGTGCTGCCTTCTATAATTTATGTTTTTAATTTTGCCTGAGTTGTCGTTTGTTTGCTGCAAATCCTTTTGCTACATAATTCATTATTCAGTCTCCTATATAATAAATACGAGCTGCTTTTTTGCCTTCACCGGCTGTAGGCGTGCAGCTAACCTCTCATATCCGTCTAGTGTAGAGGTTAAGAATGTGTGGATCTATATTGCCACTTTCCCATCCATCCTTATGGTGTGGTACTTAATTAGGCGGCGGGACAAATTTGGCTTTACGGCTAATTCTGTTACATGTTCAGAGAGTATATCGTATACCTTTTAAACTCTAAAAGTATTTTGATATATCAACATATTGCCAGGCAACGGCTCGATAAACTCCCCACGGTACGCGCACGCAACAATAGGTAAAATGTTTATAGGTCATTGGTAAGCAAGAGTCAGCGCGAGATAACTGTCACGTGACTGGCTTGCTGTGTCGTCTGAGCTACGCGACAATAGAATTGTGTTTTCTGCGTTGTCCATGCCGTGGCTATATAACACGAGTCATAGCTGAGAAGCCGTGATTCAAGGACACGGAGCTCTCACGGAGGGTTCAGCAGCTGAGAATACAAGGACGGGAATGGAGCGTTTCCTTAGTGAATTGTGTAGACTGAAGAGTGAATGAGTACAGATTATGGCAGATGAGTACAAAGTGATTGAAGACGAAATAACGAGAAGATTTCATAGTGATTTGAAGGGCTAGTTTCTGTGATGAAATCCGTTGCCCGGAGACGACTAGTGAAGACTGAGAATCCTATTGCGTGTGTAACGGTGGACTGGAAAGTGTGTAAATCACCTGTAGTGGTGTATTAGTTGTAATTTAGAGAGGGGATATAACCGAAGTGCTAATAAATCCGGTCATCCTAAATAGAACCCGTTATTTTCGTCACGTGTACCGCCCTACATGTGACAGTATGTTTCTCAAATACTTGAATTCCACAATTCGTTCAATAACTATTCCTTGTACCGGAGAATGTAGTCTTGTGATGTCAGTACACACCTTCCCATTCCCATTGATTTGGTCTGTAATGTTCACATTTGTAATTTATGTTTCTTTGCGGTATGGTATAGGTAGAGTGCTGAAATGCATATTTCATGTCATGATTTACAAATGAGCAATAAATATATTTCTGTATGAGTAGACTGTGCTTACGAAAAAATAAAAATTTGAGACTATCTCTATCAGAAATTAAATATCACTATCCTCCACCATTTTAAATTGTAAAACTGACACTCCAGTTGAGTTCTACTCACACAAAATGCGGGAGGTGGATAGTAATCGAAGCTAAAGTCAGATAATTTTTAGCACTTAAATGAGTAATTATCTGTTTTCACATTATTCGTTATAATTCACTTTTATGTTTCTTTTATAGGGTTGCTGAGAGACGACATTTTCACGTTTGAGTCACAATAAACATTTTTCTTATTTTCATAGAATGTGAAGTCACAGTGAATGGCGACGTGATTTTGGTGGGTGGGATTGTGCATATGGAAGAATTTTCAGCCCCAGAATCAGGCATGTTGCTTCGAGAACGTGTCAAGAGACTACTGGGAAATGATCTCCATGCCTCATGGAAATCATTACCAGAAGTCAAGTCCAGTGGATTGCTGGGTAAGTTAACAGTCTCTCATTCTTGGTGCGGCCATCTTAAAGCATTTGAATTTTTACAAAGTCCTTTGAAGCACGAATATCTTCTAAATAATATTTATAAATTCAGTTCCTACCTCACAGGACATATACAGTGTCTTCTTTATAAAAACCAATTGACTATTGCAGTTTAGGAAAATAATCGCAGTTTAGTCAATGAATTACGTGAAGCAGTAAATATACTCTGAGAACAAGATGCAGAGTTTTTAATTTTAAAGCAGGAGATACAACCATTATGCTTAAAATGGTTAATTATTAACTTTGTGTTGTATGTAATATTTCTTTTGAAATCATAAATTATTTTAAAGAGTTCTGTCTTCTGGAACATAATGTTCTATATTTCGTTAAAAGTCGACCCACTTTTCTGAGGATCATGTCACTTCAATCTACATAGCTGTAGTGTAAGCCAAGCAAGAAACTAGCATGTAGATGGCAGCAAAACATGGACTACATGGCATTATACACAGAACATAAAACTCTTCATTTCCTATCTTGCATGACAGCTTGCAAAGCTTTCTGACTCTTTCATCCTGGTTTCTTGCATAGGTTACTCTTAAACCATAAAGACAGAGACGACATGTTCCTCTGAAATGTCGATTGACTGTCAACAGACTACGTGGTGTTATATCCCAAAAGGTAGAACTCGTCATAAGCAACATGGGAGGACCTGAAATACTTCATAAATAACTTTTGTATGAATTTTAGTTAAACTAAAAATTATTTGTTATTTTGCCATTTTAAATTACATTTCTAAATACATTGTTGTTACTGCAAAATTTTAACTGTTGTATAATGTACTTTTCCATACACACATCTGGATAGCTCTACTATTCTTGTATTGCAAACAGCAGTGTTACAAAATAACTTTAACTAGGGGCACAGTCTTATGCTTAATCATGTAGTCAAGGAACTATTCTTACCACTAATATAGCATTTTACAACCAGCTACTCAAAAAACGATTTGTAATAAGTTCTGACTAACTGCAAATTTAATTATGTTTCTAATAGGAGAGATTTGTCACTTTTCTCATATTTTGTTTTGTTTCTCAGTACAGTATGATTAATTTGATGGAATGGACAGAGTTTAATTAACGGCTGACACCTTTTTCATGCAATAAGGTGAATCGTTCACAATTTAAAGACTTAAATTCTTTAAAATAATACAAAATGGCCAAAAAGTCGCTTTCCATAGGGTTTTCAGTCAGCTCATCTCAATTTAACCAAATGTTCACATTGTTGTCTGCCAGCTTTAAGGCCCTTATAAAAAGGGGAAGTTACAGCTACCTGATTTTATCACACTTACACCATACCTTGTTCTGCAAATCCTGGACATTTTTTGATCAATTGGTGTACCCAATAGACTGCTGGTGGCCACAGGGGAAAACGTCTAGATATAAGGTCCAGTGACTGCAGTGGTCATTCCATAGGACAGTTCACAGAAATGCACTGAGTGATCTATATGATGACAGTAAAAATGTTTTTTTTTATTTGGTGGACCCTTTGTTTCTTACCTGCAACAAAATAATATTTTATTCCTACAGCATGCGACTTTAGGGCCATTCTATATATTCGTATAAAAATTCAGTTTGTACGTCACAGTAAACACATTATACACGTATCTCTGCTACAAAAAATCAGCTGGTTGAGGCTGTTTAGGGAAATATTTGCCATTTGTTGCAAGAATCGTATGAAAAACACACATATACAAACACATGTAAACAGCAAATATTCTATATTTGGAATGCAGAGTTTTATTATGTTAAAGCAGGTGGCGCATATAATGGTCAGTGGGTTTTAAGGAGTTAATTCAAGGTGGAAACTTATCACAAGATGGTCTCCAGTAACCGTTCAAATATTGCTGGAGCTTGCAGATGCTGAATAGCATGACCATGAAATGCAAGGTCCTCATCTCGCGGGGAAGGGCATCTACTTATCTCATGGTGCAATGCAACTTGCCAGTAACCGTTCTGGAAGTCTAGGGTGGAGTACAATTGTCTCTGAGGGAGTGGCATCGATCCTAGTCAATGGGGAACACTCTTTCGGTGTCAAATCACTCACCTTTCTGTAGTCCACGCAAAAACGAAGGTATCCGTTTTTCTTCTGGAGGAGGATGAAGGGAGATAACTTTTTACTATCAGATTCTTCAATAACCCCGCGTTGTGTCATGCCCTCGAGCTTCTTACCCACATCTGTTTGGTTAAGGGGAGCCTTTTTTTAACCGACCACCCTCTCTTTAGGCTTGTTGGCCACAAGGTGGTTGCCACTTGTCACTTAGACTGCCCTACCTGGTGCTGCCTCCGTTGAAGTTGTTAGGGCGTGGCTGGTTCCGGCTTGACCCGGCTCCACCGCTTCCTCCTTCCGTTGCTGATTACGGGGTTGGAATTTCAGCATAGAACCTGATATTATGGGCGCCAGCAAACAGCTAGGTGCTGTTTGCGATTCATTTTAAAGGAGGGAAGGCGTGAGTGGGGTGGAAGCTGGCGATGGGTTCGACTAGCTCCTGGCGATGAGTTCTCTCCTCAGGTCGGCTAAGGGCCAGGCTCGGACAAGGAGGGTGAAGCACTTCTGACCAACACAATGCACTTTGCCACTGGAACACTTTATTGTTTCACACAGTCACTCGGAGTCTAAATCTACACTATAAGGCCTAGTCTCGGCTTCCAAGCCGCCGGTGCTGTACTTGCTCAAATTATTTAGTTTAACGCGCAAGTATATTCGCGGGGTTTACCTCCGCCACGTTCGAAAGTTTTTAGCAGACTCTTCATCTTAAACTGGACTCTCTGCCGAGCCAGAGGTCCTAACTTAATTGTATCCGCCTCCTCTCTTCTCCTCCTAAATTCCCGGATAGGTGGATTCAAATAAGAGGAGTTGGCTTAATTTTGGTTCCGGCCAGTGACCGATTGTTTTAGAAGCAGTTTCGGCCTAAAATCCCAAACAGCGAAATGACAGAGATGTAACTTACGAGGGGTCGCTAATGAACTCCTGGCCCTCCCACTGTTGACTTATGACGGGGTGGCGACTGTCACGTCTCGAATTCTCAAAGTGTCTTGCCGCCGTAAGTCAACTTCTCAATTTCTAAAGAAACTAGTGGGGGTTCCATGAAGTATCATTTCTGCCCTTTTCGAAACAACCCCAGATGCTTGGAAGCAAGAACTAACAGATGTCTTTGTCCGCGCAAGTTCGGTCTATCTGTTTGTTCTGACTGTGTCTTTCTGTTTCTTAGTAATTCTTACAATTCTACTTTATAACTACTGAAATAAAAAGATGGGGGGGGAGGATTTCAATGGTTCGGTTACATTTTTGGTATGTTGAATCGGTCGGGCGTCTTCAGTGTTGATATGGTGGTACACTCTGTCGGTCCACCCAGTCGTTGTTCTTCGCAAACCGTATTTGGTGATGAGACCTTCTAGCTCATGGGTATTTTTCATTATATTTTCCAGGCCACTGCAAGTACGCCCTCTAACTAAGCAGCGGTTTCCTGCGTCTGTGGATCTGCTGCACAAAGCAGAGTCACTAGAGTAAATGGTTAACAGCGTGCCAATGAGAATCTCTGGGCTAATATTTGCTCATGATTGACAGAATTCATGACTCTGATGACACCTCCAGGCCAACCCAGACCAGAGTTCTGGCTGCGTAGATTCCTCCGGTAATATGGGTCTTCGGACTCGGCTGTATAAGGCCATCCTCTGCTTGAAGGGGACTTGCAAGTCGGACCACAACTACTTCCTCGCATCATGCGTGCACCACTTGGTCATTGGCCACCACAAGGTGGGAAGACAGGGACATCGCTTCCAACAGATCTTCCATTGTCTCTTCCAGCTCAGCCCAGATAGAGCTTATCATGGCCCAGATTTCTTCTTGCCCCTTCTGATCGCTGCCTCCATCATGTCTTGATATATCTTGGCTTCCATTTCTTCTTGAGGGTACTGTGACCTGTCTTGGTGTATATCTATCCATGAGACGACAACACCTATTTGGGTTTTTATTTCTTCTTGACTGCTCAGCATATTTTATCAGAGGACCACAACCTTCTTCTTATTGATCTCTATCTTGACTTCCACCCTCGCGGTAATTTAGTCTTTAATTTCCTTTTGCATTGCGCCCTTCTTGGCTGGGTTGGTTCTTATTTTATCCTCAGTTTCAGCCAACAGGCATGCTAGCATTTGTTCCGTCTCCATAATATGGATAGATAATGCCCAATATTATCAGCGCAATTATTCCCTCAATCTGACCCTCTCTACTTCAGTTATCCCACTTCTGACACTTGCTCTCACGTAATAAGTGACTATAAACGGGTTTGGATTGGTAATCATATGTATTGTACCCTTAGAGATTGTAACAACAAGTAATTATGACCGTTTCGCTAATTAACACATTTTGCACTTCACTACAGCACATACTAAGCCTTCTCAGTGTGATATGCATTCACCAGTTGTCTGGTAGCGTCTTCCAACGCCGTAGATCCCTCAGCTTCAGTTTTCCAGTGTTGTGTTACTTTATATTGTGCCATAAACCAGTAATGGGCGTCTCTTCTGATTTTATTATTCCATCTTTCCATGGACATGCCACAATACACTTGTGGCCTATTGTACCAGCCCCAGATGATAGGTGAGGGTGATTGTGGAGCAGTTGGAGGAATGAAGATTGGCAGGGGAAACCGAAGTACTCGGAGAAAACCCGCCCCAGAGCCACTTTGTCCACCACAAATCCCACTTGACCAGACCCGGGATCGAACCCGGGTGGCCTCAGTGGGAAGCCAGCGACTAACTGCTTGAGCTATGGTGGTCCCCACCTTACACTTATATCAAAGTCTTTAAATGTAAACATGTACATACCACACATAACTGATCCCCCAGATATTGTGAATGTGTGAGTTCACATGTGCACCACTTGGTTAAATGGAAATTGGATCAGGATTTTAAAAGTTACTGCTAAGTCATCTTAAGAAGATTGAACACCTGTTAGTTTATTTAACCTAAATCTGTTGTGTTGTAATAAAGTTCCATATCAAGTTAACAATAGATATCAATATAAACATCACTCACAATTTCTGTACAATTTCCTGATTTGTAACAAGTAATGTATTCTTTTTCTCAAATTACCACTTCAGAGACACTGTCTGAAAGTAGAATAGCTTTGGAGGAACTGAAGTTTTGTTTGATCACATGCGAAGTTGTGTATAACACTGAACTGGCTGAACTGCTCAACTTGTCCAAGAGGTCAGTTAGCTGGGCAGATCCTTTACCATCCTTCAACAGGCGAACAATAGCATCAACAATAGAAAAAGGTATGCAACGTTTGCATATACAGGCTGCTATGTTGTGTATTTGTGCTGCAGAATGATCAATGAATCCTCAGGTGTGGATAAAATTAACATTATAGTCATTAAGAATTCAAAATGATTTGAAATCAGCTGAAAATAAAGCAAAACATCTTAAAAATGACTTCGGAAGGAGGTGAATGAAAAAAGGTTAAATTTGCCCTGTGTTCAATTCAAATCCATGCATTTATTAAGTTTTAACTCCTTAAAGCCTGTAGTTTGTGTGTATACGTCATTTAAAATGCACTTCATTTTCACTATTAAAACCACATGATTAATGATATTTAGAAAAATGTAATTCTGTAAGCAGTTTTTGTTCAGCTGAAAATGTGAGTGAACAGGAGCTCTTATAGAGGCAAATGATGGTTTATTCAAAAGTTACCATCACCCTGATGGTGGGAAAAGTGAACGTTTCTCTATCAGACACGTGAAAGCTGTGAAAGAACGCTATTTCTGATTGCACTAGTTCAAGGGTCTCCAAACTACGGCCCGCGGGCCACATCTGACCCGCGAAAGAATTGTGCAGAAATGCGCCAATTGAACTAATTTTCCAGTGAGTACTGGTAAATGTGATTCCTAGCTTATTGACCTGACATATTATACTGCAGTTCGATGGCTTAGCTGTGGAAAGGTTCTTTCGTGCTTCTTTCAGCTCAGGAATGAAATTGATATATTTCTTACCGAGAAAAACCATCACGAACCACTTTTATCAGATACCAAGTGGCTTTGTAAATTAACAGTTTTGCTGAGCTGATGAACCATATGAACCATTTGAATTTAAAGTTGCAGGGTGAAAGTAACTTAGTATGTGATTTATTTGCACTTATCAAGGCATTCAGAGCAAAGTTGATACTTCTGGAAAGACAAGTGAAAAATTGTAACTTTGTCCATATGCTATACTGTGCAGATTTGCATAAAAAGGGTGAAGCAGAATTTTCTTCCTCATTTGCAGATTTAGTACATTTTAGATTTGAAAGAACAATTTTGGAAGCAATTTGCTGATTTGGATTCCAGTGCTCAGGAAATTAGATTGTCTCAAAATCCATTTGACTGTGATGCTGCAGATGTCAAATTCAAATGGAAAAATTGAACTTCAGGAAAATGATCATATTAAAGACAAATACAAGGAAGGAAATTTGATCGAATTTTATAAATTTCTGAACTCTGAGCAATTTCCAAATTTAAAGAAATTTCCTTGTAAATTTATTTCCATTTTTGGGATGACGTATCTGTGTGAACAAACTTTTTCCCAGATGAAGTACTTCAAGTCGAAATACAAGGAAAATTTATCCAATGAACATTTAAAGTCGTTACTTGTGATTAGCATTTCAAAATTTGAACCTCAATTTAATCAGATTTTAAGAATGCAAAAAGAGTTCCATCATTCACATTAATTGTTTTAATATAATTTGCGATGAAAATATGAGTATTTGCTGCTACTGTTTGTTGTCATTAATATACGATAATTTATTCTCACGTACTTTCTATTTAGTTTATGAAATTCTGTGCTTTCAATAAAACTCATATACCTAGAGTTATTAATTTCTCATTTAACTGGCCCGTTGAAAGTGCTGAATTATCTACTGTGGCCCGCGTTTCGAAAAGTTTGGAGACCCCTGCACTAGTTCGTAATATCACATGAAATTATTCCTTCATAGCATGATAAACAAGCAAACAGTCTTCTTTTTCATTATGTAGTTCCCATACTGTGAATGTTAATTACATAATATTAAGTGTAATTAGTGTCTTATCGTGGAATATGAAGAAGTTCAGAGATATTTGGCTTTTTGAATCTGTCATGTACTCTAGAATGCATGTCGCTCTTCTATAAGCTGCTTATGCTAATTGAGATTAGGGAATAACAAAAGCAAAAAAGTTGTCCCCGTGCTTAATGAACAAGGTTCTACGCCATGAAAGCATATGGGGAAGTGGATGTATAGAGTCACATTTTCTTGACCTCAGCAGTAGTTGGAGGTGAGTGGTAAGCTTCACGCGCAGGCTGCTTTATCTCTGGTGACCATTGGAGAGGTGATTGGGTGGACCCCAGAGCCAGTCTGGACCATTTGGAGAAGAGAAAATTCTTGACCCTACCTGGACTCGCAGTCTGACCCCCCAGTCATCCAGCCCATGGCCAGTCGCTATACCGACTACTCTATCCCGGCTACCAACAGAAGCATAATGGAAGTTAATATTAATCATCCCTGTGTTGTTTGAAAATGGACATAACTTTTTCAGGCATTTGACTTAACGCTTCTACTGGTAGATGTCTTTCTTAATCTTCACAATGTAGAAAATGTAAAATTAGTTAAGTTCTGGACTGGTCATGAAGACTGTGGAAAACCTTATTTACTGACATCATTAACATTATTTCTTGGACATAAAACTGGTTTCTGAATGTACTGTGTACAATATTTCTACAATAATTATCACAAAGATCTAATGTCTTGATAGGGGGCTTTCAATTTCTCTTCTGAGTCTCTGCATGCAAATTTCAGAGCAGTAACTCAAATTAGACCCTAGGATTCCTTACACATTCTTTCCAATTCATTAATCATCCTTCCATTCACTCCTGTGTAGTCTGAACTGCTGACATTGTCATAAAAGAAACACAACTAAATGAATGAAATTTGCTAATTTTTTACACAAAACTGTTCAAGTTTTGTTGTCCCATGTCAACTCTGGCACTGTAAAATCTCTAAAAGAAAGATTCCTTCCATGAAATCCTGAGACGTCAGACTTTGAAATCTTATAGTGTCGCACCAAAATGCATTTAACATTATTTAAAAATGTCAATAGAATGTGTGTGTGTGTTTGCATGCGTGCATGCGCGTGCATGTATGTGTGCTGTGGAAATCTTGAAGAGACAAACAATATGCATACAAGGTTATTGATAGAGATTCAAAATTTCTCATTAATATAACCTACTAACTCCATGGAGCACATAAAGTGATGGTTGCTCAGCTAATCAAGAAATTATCTACCTTTTGAGAAACCTGAATTTTATTAACATGTTCACATGTCCCCACTACTTGACCTCATCTGAGCCAGATTAATTCAGTTCACGCTTTAGGATCCATTTTAACCAAATATTTACATTATAAATCAGTCCAGTTAGCTTGTAGTATTTTTCAAATAATATGGAAAAGGATCTACTTCTAGTAACAGACCGGTCATACGTTTAACAGACCGGTCATACGTTTATTCAATAGGGAATTAGTATATTCATCTTCGGTGAAATTCTTGGGTATTGATATCTCTGATAATTTGAGCTGGTTGAATCACACTCAATATATCTGCCTTAAGCTGAGCAAGGCCCTATATCTGATCAAATCCTTACGTAATTCTGTTAGTTTACAGGTATTAAGAAATGTATATTTTACTAAATTTGAATCCATATTTAAGTATGGTATTGTGTTTTGGGGTGGTGGAGGTAAAGAGATTGATGCAGTTTTTAAAGTACAAAAAAAAATGCATAAGAGCCATTATGGGCGTTGATAATCGGGCATCCTGCAGAAGGCTGTTTGGTGAGTTAGAAATTTTAACTGTTACTTCTTTGTATATACTGGAGATTTTATGTTTTATCATAAAAAATAGAATCTATACAACTCTGAACTCTGATGTGCATAATTACAATACAAAGCATAAACATAATCTGTATGCCCAACATTGTAATACAAATC